TATATAAGTATGTATACCTATATATTACGCATAAATAATCGACAGCGCGTTTATCTCTGATCTTATGTACAGTTGTAAATTACACGAAATTAAAAATAATATTTTGCGGAGGCATATCCTCTTGTTTTTCACTGTCTCTCGTATTTATCTCTTTCTCTCCTACAATTTCTCCCATTTTCTCCTTCGCTTTCACTCTGTCTCTTTTTTCTTTCTCTCTCTCTCTTTTTATCACTTTCCCTTATGCAATAAGTAAGATAATACTATTCCTGTTTCTTTTTTAGTTACTGGAAAGTTGTATTAGTTATCGTCGTACTGTACGGTAGGAACTTAAAATGGTGGCTTCGCTGAGCGAAGTTCCAGAAAAATAAAACATTATTCTCCATTCGTCAGTCAGTATCGGTGCCTATCCGTTAGTTTGTTTTATAAATAACCTAATCTTTTTTTTTTTTATATAAAATACCGTATTTTCACGGAACAGCTGTTGATGCTTAAAAAGATTAGAGTGTTTATAAAAGAGTTGAATTTACAAATATCCTGCGACGCGATAAAAAATTATTGCAAAAATTAGCGTACGTTAGAAGATGGAAAATTTAGAAAGCACGTAGTACTCACTAAACCAAGTAAGAGATGCTTAATCAATGTAGTTGAGAAAATTGGATAGAAGTAGGAGCTCTTTCTTATGTTGAGTGAACACTACCTGCGTTTTATTATTATCCCATTTTTTTCTAACATACAATGAAAATAATGGCACAGAGTTATATAAAAAAAATGTCCAATAAAAAACATATAATCCCAATGTTCGGATAATAAACCTTCTTGTTCTTTTATATTTCTTTGCATCTGTGCCTGCGTTCAATTTTATATTTTAATAATAATCTGTATATACACCATTGCAATTTTGCATGATAAACAAGAACTGAAATCACTGTTAGCGCGGATATTGGCGCCGATTTTGTCGATGTATCTGTGTGAGCGAATAAACAGCGAACAAAAAAGCAAAACCAAATTTATTACAAAACTCGTTTCACATTCGCTGTTCAGTCACTGCAGTTAATACCGACCTTAACACGACACCACAACACAAGTAAAACAATATGACAATTTAAAATCAATTAATAATGAGTTAACATGTTTTATCCTTTCGCTATAATAAAGTAACCAATCGATACGCGTCTCTCTATCCACACCCTATGCGACAATGATAATGCTCCTTTTTCTCCGTGCCTGTGTGTGCCTATATGTCCCCCTGCTATCTTCTCTGTCTCTTACACGCACTCTCTCTGTCTTTCTCTCTCTCTCCCTTTCTTTCCCTTTCTCTCACTCTTTCACTCTTAGGATACTCTCTCATCTTCTCTCTCCTTCAAAGCTTTGCTCGTCGCCTCTCGCGAGAGAGGCGAGAGACGATAAACAACGCGAGCGGAGAAAGTTCTCTTAATATTTAATATGCTAAAGGGGTGCCTACGAACAACAAAAACGTTAAGTGAAAAAGAAAACTGACCGTTTCTTTTTCCAATCATCTGCAAAATAATACTGAATTCTGCACATGTGGTGCCTATCACAAATAGACCTATAAGATAATATTTATGTACGCTCTCGCACGCATTCCTATATGCATACGAACAGTCATTTAACTGTATTTCAACTCTGCGCGATTTGCCGCATACAGTTAAGATATAATCCTACTTCTCTGTTACTCCATCCCTTCTCTCTCTCTCTCTTCTCTTTCACACATACACACATACACACTCTATTCCTCTCTCTCATTCTCTCTTGTCAACAGAGTGGATAAAAAATTGTTAAAACCATTTTCAACGTACTGTACCATCTTAAACGTCCAAATGTAATTTTATGATGCTCGAATAAAACATAAATTAATTACGAAAACAAAAACGAGATATTTACAACGGTCGTTTAATTTTTGATCAAAATAATTTCACTTTGAATAGTAAGAAACCAGAAAAGCTGTAGATTGCTTTCTTCTATACAAATTTCGTCATTTTTTAAGGAAATATTTGCAAATAAATATTCATAATAAAACATCTCAAAAACAACTATTTCTAACAAATTCAATTAGATGCACTTTAATTGGTGCAAATTAAAGCCTTTTGCATGCTAATTTGTCTCAATGCAAGAAGATGATGTGTAACGTGACAATTTATGAGCATCTCGTTAGACTAACTATTTATATATCTGTATACATACGCGCTTATGTCAAGCGAGACGAGAACCGACGGTACAGCCCGCTGGAGCAGTTATAAACTCTTTTGAAACACCCTGTATATATAATATATATAATATATAGTATTAATAATCAATAATAATATCAGTTTGTATTGTACAGGTTGTTTGGGGGGGGGGGGGGGTCCGAAAACCTCTGTGGTCTCTCTAATATTCACTTCAAACCCCGTGTCGCACCAATACGCTCCGTCTGTCGTTTACGCTCTACTTAAATCGCTATTATTTATTATTATTCGTTATTTTATTATTATTATTTTCTCATAATATATCTTATCCTGTTTCTCTCTAGGAGTAGTAAAGAGTGTGACATAACGGATTCTATCATATGATTCTTATTTCTGTCATTCATTTACTTTTTGTCTCTCTTTTCCCACAACTCCCCCTCTTTTCTCACCTTAATCTCTTTAACGAAATAATCATATCGTTATTATAACTTTAATAATTACCTAAGTAATCATTTACCATTACCTTTACAATTTAATATGTAGCATTTTCTTTATCTATCGTAGATTTGTCTGTGGCTATCCCTGATGTGTTAGTTACCCTGCGCTTCCGTCTGGTTGTCGAAATATTGTTGTGAAATTGTGGTCTACGATTAAAAGTATGTTCAACGTTTGTTCCGTATTTATATTCTTTCTCTTTCTTTTCTTGCCTCCGAATATTCATCAGATCAGTATGATTTCGGTGAATTTCAGCATGCTGCAGACATCGCGCGCGAACGCATTTTTTTTTCATGTCTCTATCGTGCGATCGAGAATTGAACTCTCCGAAATTATACCGTTGTTGATCCTCGATTTCCCTTGAAAAGGATTTCGCGTCTCGGCATTCGCCAACGGAACGGCGATTGCGCGTGCTTGTCTCGTTCCTCGTCGAATTATTCCATTCGCAACGAGTCAAACCAGAGATAGTCGTTCGCGTCTCGACAGATCGCGCGATCTTTCGTTCTGCTCGTGTTGTCGGATTCTTCAAAACGTATCGCGAAAGAACTCGAACAGAAAGAAGCGAGCAGAATAAAACGGTCAACAATTAAAAATATTTATTTACAGACGCAACGGTGTAGCTACCGAGTAAACGAATTAGTCCCTAAAAATTATGCGCACTGGAGCATGCTGACAACGAGTAAGATTCTCGGGGGATTGGCAAACAGGAAATCTTGGCAAGTTGTCGCTATTATTGCCTCATCCACGTCCGTCGCGCAATTCGGCAAGATTGTTTCTTTTTTTTAGAAATGAGAAAAGGGTTGCGGACGACTCGCGCGAAAGTAACGTTCGATTTTGTGCCAATGATATTCTCGTCACCTTATTCAATTGCATTCGAGAAGCTCCTTTTAAAAACCGTATCAATAACTGCGTGAAAAATACATTTCTATTAAAATAGAAATTGTTCTTTTAACTGAGTTAACTAAAGAACCATCGAATCATAACTAAAACAAATCTACAAGTTGAGACTAAAAGCATTAAATTAAATTAAAAGAACTTTGTAGAAAATTTAGTTGAAAAGATTAAAAGATTTATCGTATGATATTACGACAATGCATAATGTCCGTTGATTTCGAATTTAATTCAGAAATTTCGAATCATAGTTGCATAATCATATGTAATTGAATCTAAAATATAAAATACGCATATTATACGTAATATATATCATACGTCATAACTTAATCTAAAATAATTTATCAAATGCTAAGTTTTATTTGTTAAATGCTGAAGAAATACTTCTTCATTGTCCAATTTAACCCTTACACTACACCCTATAAGTCAAAATGACCCAGTAAAAAATTGTGTCGCATTATCTATCATTGAAACGCTGAAATCGGGATCTGTCGCGCCATATCTTGATAGTTTTAACCTCTCTCTAGATAGCGGTACAGTCGCTGTAAGTCAGCAGGCGTCCGGCTGTGCAGTCTGGTTGCCGTCCGCGTCAAACGTTCCGAAAATCACGGGTCATTTTTTGAAATGTTAGCTTTCGCGCGTATTTTTTACCTTAAAGTATATAATCTAGAGAGTATGCAGTTAAATTTTCACGTAAAATTATTGAAAATTTAAAAAGTTATTGAATATTTCGTAAAAAGCAATTTTTTGGTTTATAAACCATATTTTGAATTTTTGAACCATAAAGCTTTATTAATAACCCTTCACAAACAATCTCACATTCATTTTGAGTGTTGCAAGAATGCACCCTTTTAATTTCAGCCAAAAAGAATCGATCCCCCGTTTGTGGTAATTACGCAAAGTAGCGCTGAGTCAAAATGACCCAGGGTGTAGTTTATGTCTCAAATAGGTAGTGTGTAGTTTAAGGGTTAATGTTAATTTAAAATTTAGATATAATACTAATAATCATTTATGTAATACGTATATATGTGTATATATACATGTAATAAATATATAATAACTGAAACTGTAAATTAATTTATAATTAACATATGTTGCAATAATAAAAAAGAATATAAAAATTATGTAATTGGATTTTTATTTCTTTTTAGAAGAATGAAAGAAAAAATATTGTTAAATATTATAATTAATATTGAAGTCTTATATATTGAAACATCGAATTACTGTTCAACAAAAAAATTTTTTTTTTGAGTACACAAAAACGAAAATAATCGTTTTTTTTTCGTAATTTTTTTAACGCTGAATATGATTTCATTCATCAAATGGTTCTATCGCATCATAATTTTAAGAAATTTGCAGTTAAAAGACTATTGCAAAAAAGAACTATTTTAGTGTATTTTGGCATATTATAATGATGATATGTGACATATTGGAGAAGTTTTATTACAATCAAAATTAACTATGTTGTTAAAATTTTCAGTCCTCAAAAGGAATTTGTGTCGATTATGGTTAAAATGATATTAGGGTCTATTGTGTCAAAGCAGCTTACATAAACCATTAAGGATTTATCAAATATTTTTTAATTATGTTATTCATTTAGGAGTTTTTCAGGTCACTGAATACTAATCTGATGTCAAAGTTGATAAATTCAAAATGGCGGAACTAATGTTGTGAACGTCAAAATAAAGAAAAAGTCGAATTTTTACATTCCCTTATCAACTTTAACATCACATTCAGCGACCTGAAAAATTCCTAAATTTAAATAACATATTTAAAAAATATCTTAATAATTAAAAATTATTTGATAAACCCTTAATGGTCTATGTAAGTCACATTTTTAACGCAATAGATCCTATGTTAATCATCAATTTTTTTAACCATAATTGGTACAACAGATTCCTTTTAAAAGCCTAACAACATATTTAATTTTCATTATAATAAATTTTTCCAACATGTCACATATTGCAGTTATAATATGGCAATATGCTATACAATAAATACAGTAAAATAGCCCTTTTTGTAACTTTAATTTCAAATTTCTCAAAATTGTGACGTGATAGAGCGATTTGGTAAAGGAGATCGTATTCAATGTCCAAAAAACTGCGGAAAACGATTATTTTTGTTCTTGTACATTTTTTGTTGAACGGTGTTATAATATCTAGTGTATATCTATTTGATCTATATTTTGTATAATTGTTCCAACTGTTAATATCTTTTTTCTTTCTTCTTTTTCAAGTCAAAGACGGTTTGAAACAAGCTTCTCGACATACTACCGTTAATTACTCGTCATATATCTCGCCACTAGAAAAAGTTTCGTTCCATCTCACCTCAGATTCTATCGTAAACATAATTGTCATTTTCCGTTCGAGGCGCCCGTTATACTGACAACGGGCCGTGCGAGCTTTCCCCGACGATCGTAAGTCCATCGTAGCAGACATCGTACTTTATTCAGCCGTTATAGCAAATACTATTTGGTATATATATGATCGCTTTTGCAGCAGGAACTATTTTGTAGCAGCGCCGAGAGTCATTCGCGAAAGCGTGTCGGCAATGTTTTCGATGCCGTTTCATTATCGCGAGAAGATTCGACAATCTTCAATTCGCAACTCCCGAGAGAGAATCAGTGACTGAGAACGATGCTAAAACAAGACGACGATCTGCGGTGTCGTCGGCGAGTTTGATTGAAACGAGCCCGAACGTCGAAAGGCGAAATGTATGCTCGAAGATTATGCTATCAAGATTCAATTTTGATAAACTGAAGTTTTACTTTTAATTTCATCTTCACTTAAAAGATGTTTTCGGGAAACAAATCTGTCGATTAGACATCTACTAATTGTAAGAGTCAATTTCCAAATTATATTCACCGGGTATATCAAACTATACGAACTATACGAAGGACTCTTGTGTGAGTATTGTTCTTGACAACGGTAAAAATCTCGCTACACGCGGCCCAACCACCGACGGAGAAAAGACACAACAACGAAACCCAAGTGGCAAGCACAGAAACGAGCGGAGAGCAGTTAATGGCGCTTAAGCGTGGATTGAGCAAAGCTCGAATGTTCATCGAGAGTGTACCCTGCGGAGAGCTGCGAGTCGGTTGGTAAAAGTCAGTCTTGTGAAGGATAGTGTCTTGTGTTGAATCGCGCGCGTGTAAATCTATATAACCCCCGTGCGATGAGGAGCCTCACGGAGGGAGTCGCTTAATTAACTATCGTGCGATTAACCCTCTGGCTGCGACATGTGAAACGGCTTTCACAAAATATCCAAGATCCACAGATGGATCCGTCAATTCTAGTCTAGCTAGACGTATATTGCTGCATTCCAGACAAAGATGTTTTACAAAGAACATGTCACAATTGTCCGAAACCGATTTGATGAAATATGTCGTTATGTATAAATATCTAAGAAAATTACAGAGTTACAAATAATATATATAAAAATAATGAAAGTTTTGTCAAAAACATTTTTTATATAAACAAGAATAAAGCTCTTAAGATGTACAATCAAACTTGAATCAAAGACAAATAAAAGCAAACACCGATAAAAATTATAATATACAATTATATTATTTTTTATAGTGATTTTATACAAATTATTGTTTCGACGAATAATTGCTTAGAAATCTTAGAATACGATATAAGCATTAGTTTTCTCTCTCTCTCAGGGGAGAATTGTTTCATTCTTTAAATCTCAAAATGGACACGTATCAAAATATATGTCTCCTAGATTTTCGTTAACAACATATTAACCGAAGAACGAGCGCCTCATTTTTTGCATCACCTGGGACTATTTTTACATCCCAATTTAAAGTCATTGTTATTAATTACATATTGCATATTGTATATTGTTCTATAATTCTATAATTTATCAGTATTTGAGGACAATATGTATATAGATTTACTCAACATTTTCCAAGAAAAGTAAGAACAAACTAAAAAAATATTTAAAAAACAAAAAAAGCATATTAAAATTATATAGGGTGTACACTGTATTGGGTGTTTAAGTAACTTTAGCGCCCGTTCTCGGATTAAAGAAAAATCAGATCGAATTCTAAACAGTTGTGATTAATGTCTTTTGTCAGAGTATACTGAAAACTTTATAGGTTTTTGAGTTTACATGCGAGTATGTGACATGAAGGGGAATCTTGAAAATGTCAGCCGACATTTTAGAAAAGTTCGATCAATCTCAAATCTGCTAAAATATTTCAAGATAATTAGCTAATTTATCGCATTTTGGCGACATATGTTTATCGGATTTCTTTATAACAATCAATGACGGATCGCATATATGTACGATATGCGCAGCCAGAGGGACTAATCGACCATCCGCCCAGCCCTTGGTGGGCAAAGGTAACAAATCACAAATCATCAATCATCAATCATCGCTTAACATCAACATACAAGAACGTACCGTTTCAGCCAAACAGTTCCACGCAATCCTAATCGGAACCGTTCTGCTGTAGTAACGCGGGCGCCGATTGCGTTGGTTGCGGTTGCATCGACGGTTCCTGATGATGGTGATGGTCAACAATGGGGGATGGTGTCTCGCTGGTCTGCGAGTTCGTCAAATCGCCACCACCGCCACTGCTGCCGCTTCCGTCCCCTCCCCCACTTCCTACGCACGCACCCCCGCCCCCGTCGCCGCCCGGGTTCGCGGACGATTCGAACGCCTTCTGCTCGCTCGGAGGTAGCATATGCACCATATTCACTGCTAGAGGAAACGATGCAGCAGCATATTCGGCCGGATAAAAGCTCTGCGGCTGCGGTATATTACTGCCAAGTAGACCGCGATGGGGATATCCGCCGTTGTCCCCCGGATGCTGCAGCGGCAATCCGGTGAGCCCATGGCTCATCTGCGCGGACTGCTGGTGCTGGACGGGCTTGATGTTATTGTTATTCATGATTTCGGGGGTGCTGGCGCCGGTACAGTTCCTACGTAATTGCTCGAGCTTTAGACTCTTTCCGTATTTACCACGCACGTACATCAGCAAGCTATTGTAGGGAATGCCAAACATACGACTAGCCTGCGACGTGGTTAGTTTCTTTTCCCAAACATGTTGCAAGGCGAGTGTTAGTTCGTTATTCGTCCAGGACCTTGGTGGTCCTCCTCGCGGAGCGCTGTGTTGTCCCTTGGGTCTGTTAACTGCGAGTGCCCGAGGATTATGATCGGTCCATCTACGTGGCGCGTCACTATCACTTCGATGCTTTTTTGTCTTTTTGGTGGGTGGAGGGCCGAGACTGGGCGTACCGAAGAGATTTTGCAGCGCCTCCGGCTTGAAATTATCCGTGAGAATCGAATCCGCGAGGAGGTTGCCTCTGTCGTACGTAGTAGCATGGTGTGAGAAAAGTCCGCCACCCAGAGCCGTTACGCCGTCCAAGGTCGGCGTGAACATCGCCATGGCGCTACGTCGCGGCAACGCCGATTCCTGTTGCTGCTGCTGCTGATACGGATGAGATCTCCCAGAACCGTGGGGACTGTCCTCGCGTGGATGGTGACTCTGGGCCGACGGCGGCGGCGGCGGCAGTTGACTCTGCGGATGCCCGGGCAACCATTGGTTCGTCAGCTGGCCGAGGCTTGTCAGGTACTCGGTAGGATGCGGCTGCGACAGCGACAACGTCGGCATCGTCGGTAGCGACAATGTTACAGTCGCCGCTACGGCCGCCGCCACGGCCGCCGGGATGTCCGGTATAGGACCATCCGGATGATGCAACAGACTGGTTCCCGTGAGCGGCGAACCGCGAGGACTACTCGTTGCTTCGCTGCCCTCCGTCTTCACGTGATGCTGATCCAGTCCGTTCGGCGATATGGGTTTCTTCATCGAGAGATTCTCCGCCATGTCCTCCTGCTGTTGCTGCTGATTCTGCGCGTTGTTAATCGATTGTTGCTGATGATATTGAGATTGCTGCAGCAACAGCTGCTGCTGCTGCGCCTGGTGCTGACCACCGCTGAGATTAAGGACGCTCGTCAACGGACTCGAGCTGACCGGCGGAGTCGAGCGCCTGCTGAGATCTTGCGGCAGCAATTCGCCGGATCGTCGGCGCGGACGCGCCTGTTTCCGGCGTGGCATCGACGGCGAGCCGCAGCTCTCGCGGATACCGAAGTTCATGTGGCCAATGAGCGGCTTGGCCGGGTGGTCCCTCGTTGGTTGAAACAGAATGGGTTTCATCTCCCTCGTGCTCTCCAGCGGGTTTTCGTCCTCTTCGGGTGTGCCGTGTCGCGCGACTTCCGGCGTCGGTAACTCGGCCAGGATGAGATCGCGCGTCGGCGTTGATGCCAACGACGACGGCCTGGGCTCCGTCGACACCGGCCTCGGCTCCGATGACGACAGCCCACGCACCTGCAGACACTCCGCGGCCTTCATCAGTCCCGGTAACTCCTCCTGGGCGATTTGCACCTCGCCGCGATATATGAAATGTACCAAAGTGGACAGCTCATGATGCGAGAAGTCCTTCAGCACGATCACGGGGTGCTTGCATGGATTTTCTGCGAATATCCTCTCGAAGAAAGGACTGTAACATAGGAAAAACGACTCCATACGATTAGGATTAGGTCACCCCTTTCTAAGTTCGATTGGGGATCATTCCAAAGAAGCCATACGTTTTTTCAATTTTGATTCATTTACATTGATCGATTTACGCTGACTACGTTACAGCACAATCGATCAGAAAAATTTTGCACCGCGTTGTTCGCAGCGTTACATGCGTCTCGGCGTGAAACGTTGCGTGTCTTCGCTCAGTAAGCCAGAACGACGACGCGGTCAGAAACCGCGGGCAAAAAGTTACCGCAAGGATTAGCGCTCCTTCCTCGATCGAGCGACGGCTCGAATCAATCAGATGGTACAAGACTTTCGCTCGTTGTCAACTTTACGTCACACGTCCCGCGCGAAGTGAGAAGAGCGTTGCGGTACCGCGTAGACTGTGCAAGGCGGCACTTAGTCGCCCGGTAAACCACGAAGGTAAGACGCGACGAAGAAATTTTTCTTCGGATAAGAGAGAGACCCGCCGAGCGCAAGAACCACTCTCAGTTTCAGTGCGCGTCGCTTCTTTAAGATACACTATACACTTCCGCCGATCAATAAAACTCGACTGATCATTTTCAATCGAGGCGAGGAACTGCTAAAGGGGCAAGTAGTGTAGGAAGTTACTGTCACGAGATACATGGGCAAAGACGGAGAGTTTAGAAAGCTTTAAACCTTTGCTGTCGAACTAATATTTCTTATCCTGTAAACATTTTTTTTTTATTGCGATACCGAGACGAGGCATTTCACTCACAAAGGCGTGAGTATAGTGTATCACTATTCATCTCAGAAATCTGTTGCGTAACAATTTTTCTTCCTTATTTATTAATACAAAAGCAACTCATGGGTGTTAAATTCTACAGAATTGAAACAAGCATAAAAATAATTATTTCAAATACTAATTATAATATAAATCGAAATATATAGATATATAATAACTAAATATAAATCAGTTTTTCGTCAATTTTATTTATTCTAAAAATAAAAATTTAGCTGATTGCGTTAAAAACACAAGAAGAGAAAAAGATCAGAATAAGATTCAGCACCTGGAAAATTCAAACGAAGAAAAACTCTTTTACGGAGTATCTATATCTATATAGAACTTACCTGCAGGCGCTCAGGACGACTTTGTGTGCCTTGACGCTGCTGTCGGCGCAGATCAGGGTCACGTCGACGAGCGTCTCCGCGTGCAGCAGCTCCTCGAACGCCCGTTGTATGTGGGCGAGATGGTTGTGCCATCGTAAGGAATAGTGCGATTGCAGAGCCATTCTGTTAGGACTGTTCCCGACGCTCGACATTTTTCTTCCGCCGCTGCCGCCGGAAGATGGTGACTTAGCAAAGCCGCCACCTTGTCCCGCCGCCTTTTCGCTGGTGCCGCGTGGTCTTTGTATTTCGGTTTACTTTTCCCATGCACGCACGCACGTGACCACGTACGTCCTACAACTTCTTTGTCCGCCCGTTTTCCTTGCCGCCTTGACGCTAATCTTGCCGGTTTCCTAAAATCGGAATATGCGAAATGGTTAAAATGGGGGTCACACAAACCTCGTTCTCCAAGAAGATGAAAGAAAGTGAGAAAGATTAAAGAAGGAAGAAGGGAATATATAGCGACGCGTTGTCCCGAAGATTATAGAGAGTAGTAAGTAGATGCGTTCTTCAACTTTTCTCGCCATATTTCTTGAAGTTTCGGAGGATCCACGGACGATGCGTGGTCTGCGTGGATCAACTTTTTCCCTACGGACGCTGTTGATTGCCGCGTGACAATTTTAACCTGGGATTGCACCTTCCATTTGCATTATTTTTCTATTTCACGCATTCCATAGTTATCCTAACAGATTAGCGTCAAAATTTTAGAGATTTTTCATCGCCTGTGTAATCCGTAACTGGCCATTCCCATATATTCTTGATCGGCTATTTTGGTTATCATAAATATATGGCTTTTGTTACTTTTTTCTTTAAAAAATTATCTATAATGCAAGTAAAGATAGAATAAAATAATAAAGTGATTTATCGCAGAAAATTGTTTCAATCTAAATTTTGTACAGATTATGTTACAAGTGACAGACCTGATTATAGACACTAGAAGGCACCTCTTCGAAGAAACCTCTTTCAGGTAAGAAAAATAAGACTAACGGCCGTGTCGGAAATGTGATTTTGCAAAGATTGCAAGCTGCGTTACGCTAGGCATTATTGTCGCTGATTGCGAGACAGACGATCCTGCAGATACGTGCTGTTCCCGAGATAGCATACGCGTTAATTATTTATCCGGTCGAATATGCGATAATTACGGATAATTATCGCACTTCGGGCAATTCACCCGCCAAGTATTTAAGCAGCATCGGCACTCGCTTCATCGACGATCGGGTGTGTTTGGCTATGAATAATTTCGCGCCTGGTAAAAAGGGGGGTAACCGGAGGAGGGAGATGAGTGGCGGTCACGGTTAATTTTCACGCTTTCTGTAGCGCCGCCCAAAATTCAAAGTGTTACGAGAGAAGTTTTCCATGTGTAAAACCCGCCAAGGTATCTGTGCAGCATACTTATGCAGAGTTAAAAAGTTATGCCTGGCAATCGCATCGAAACCAACCACCTACCTACGCTTTTCCAAACGAGTGAGAATGACAATGAATAAACTCCGAAAGATTTTCTCGGACGATTAATCAAGTATATTTGTGCGTTGTGTCTGATCGCTGACTGACAATATATCCGTCCAATTCTTGGAGAGTTGCTAGAAGACACTATCCGCGAGAGTAACCCGTCTCTATCAATCATCCGTTAAATTGCAGCGATTCGTAAACTTGTCGAGGAGGCACGTTACACAGATACGAGTGAGGTTTTCGTTTTATTCCCTTTATTCGTAACGCTTTTATATAAATGTACGACTTTAAATTAGGTCGATGAGGTGCCCATAATGTGAACCGTACTTAACAAAATTGCAAATTCATTTTTAATTAGTCCCTGCACTGATTCCTTTCTCTCTCTTCCCCTCTCTCTCTCTCTCTCTCTCTCTCTCTCTCTCGCCCTCTACGTCAATAAAATACACTATTTAACATACGGGTAAGCATGCACGCAATTCTAACGGAATGGATGACCCTTGAGTTTCTATACGTTTCTCTATAGTTGTCTGTACGCGACGCGAATTGAAACGAATGATGTAGCGTTCGTGCGTTTATTTTATAATTAAAACGTAATTAATGCAAAAGGCGGCACACGTGCGTAGGCGCACGACGTGACCTGGAACGAGCGTACACCTCTTCAACGTCACGTCATTCGCACATATGCGACAGCTTCGATTATAAATTGCATCCGGTAAAAACCCACCTGCAGATACGCGCTCGATAAACCATTTCGGTCGCAATTACGCTAGCGATAATACAATAACGATAAAAATAATATAAAATCGCGCGAGGGGGGGAGGGGGAGGGGTGTGAAGAAAACGCGAGCACGCCGCATGTGAAATAGGAGAATTCTCCCGCTCAATTTGCGTTCGAAAGAGCTTCTACGTGAAACGAATATCCCGGCAGCAACGCGCGACTTTAGAAAATCTCGGAAAATAGAATCGCGGTATCGAACGGAGTAGAGAAGTTTCACTTACACTCTGCGTTGTCAATCATCTTACTGTCGCCGTCACTATCGGCATTAAACGAGCAATTAATATAAAATCTCTATCAGCCATCGGATAATTAATTGCCAAGCTGACGGCACCCTTGCGATCGTAAACAGTCCCAGTCTCGTAGAAGAGACACGGACATACAACAAACTGATGATAAACAACAACGGAGTGCAAATGAATGATCTTAATGTCGCGGTTAAGTAATCGAGCTGGCTTTTCAACCTACTACGGTGTCTTTTAACTCACAACGGGCGAGCGTAAAATTGGCGCTTAAAAACCCGTCGTTTCGCTTTGACGACGAGAAGTGCCTCTCGCGCGAGAGGAGAAATATTTTTTTCTCTCTACGAGGCTCGCGATTCACATGGAGCTCGGGGGGACCGCCGGCTCGGGATACGCCACTGGGCACAGTCGAAAACTCCCCGCAAGTTTGTTGTCAAACTCGCACGTGTTCGGAAAAAGAGCGCGGATTTACGTCAACCAGTTACTCTCCCGCGTCCTCCTCTGTTTCCCCGCGCTTTATTTTCCTTTTTCATTTCCGCATCCGCGTCTCGAGGAGGCGGCGCCGCGCTGTACGTTGCACGCGGGCAAACTATTAGTCATAGCGGTGCATAACACATCCGAAAACTTCTCGTCAAACGAGGCGACGATTTATACGGAAAAGAGTCGGAATTAACGTCGATGCCTGCGAGTCTCGCGAACAACAAGAATTATGACCAAATGGCACGTACGGAAATTCGAAAATTTCGTAATAGAAATATACGATGATCCCGTAGCCAGTCGAGAAGATCGGATTCCCACCCTCAAGTCGTAACTTCGCTAGCCAAGAGATACATCAGATACATATGTGAGAAAACTAGTTGCTGCACCTCATATTACTCTATCGTTCCTGAGCGAATCATTATCCAACTGTAGACTTGGCAAAACACGAAGAAAGTAACGAGTTTACGTTGAGGAAACTATCATTACTGGAGTTTAGAGAATTTATGATATCTACTTATATATATCTTCTACAAACGTAAGGATTTTTTCTCGTATTTCTCGTTCATATTTTGAAAGTTTTCCCGCGGAATTCTTTTGTTTCAAATGTACAGGGTACATACATTTCCTTTACGTTTTCTATATAGTCAAAATGTGTCTTTGTCATATAACCGCCGAAAAATATTTTTCAATGTATCGCAGATTGTAATTTCGTTGAGTTGACAAGAACATAAAGCGTAAGAATATAATGTTAATTATTTATGTTTCTGTCATGCGTTTTCCGAGAAGCGACAAAATGTGCAAATGCATATGTATTATAAGCAAAATGTATTATATGCACAAAAATGTATTATAAGTACAAGTCCATTCAACTATTATTGAATAAAGATGAAAACGACATAAACGATTGAATAGTCTTTTTTTTGTCAGAGCTCGCATACGCGTTACGCCCGGAAATTTATGTGGACTTACTTAACAATTTGCCGATAGCATCTTAAACCGTCCATTTAAAATTGACTCATGGCTCGCAATCATAAATACCAGGTATGCAACGAAGCTCGGATGCGATCATCACACAAATTCAAACAATGGATGCTGGTAGTTGAGGGTTAGCACCGGTCTCGCATGACTGATCCGATCGAACTCTTACAAATCTCCACGATTGGATCTCATGAGTTCCGATTCCTCTCGGCATGTAGGACACAATTCCTCCTTCGTTAACCGTCCGACTCCAAATTAGAATCGTCCAAGCCAATGAGGGGGCATAGAAAAATACGAAAAGCCTCGTCCTTCCGAGGCACCAGCAACATCGACACATTCGTGAGGCCTCATCGAAATCGTCGAGCTCACACGTACGTCGATTTTATTCGTCGCGCCAGAGAGAACGTAATTTCAAAGCCGGAAAAAAAACACATACGGAAAGACAATGCACAGTCGGTGCAATCTACGTTTTGGTGGACACTCGCGTCACAAACAATGCGGAGCGCGCAGGGACATCATATACGATGAATGGATCTTGTCGGCACACTGCACACCGAACAATACCTTCGAAGGTCATCTTCGAAGTCTCGTGCATTCTTGCAAGATGCCGGGGAGGGACCACCGGCCTGCAGACCCGTCGACTGCCAATGATTACTCCGACGACGCGGGAAATTTTGCGCGGGAAGACCATGTGTGTGGCCAGAACACTTTTGCGCGGAGAGACTGTATCTCCAGGAGGAGTGAACGCGTCTCTATTGTGTGACTACACGCACGTCAGAGCAAAAGGTGAAACGAAGAAAAGAGAAGAATAATGAATGAGCAAAAACGAGGAAAACAGGAATTTTCCTCATTTGCTCCGACACACGTTCTCCGTTTAAGAATTAATTAAAGAGAATATCAAGAAAAAATTGCGGAAGAAACATATCACGATGTAATAGAGACGAGTATACGTGTAACAAGAAAATATGTAATAATAGACAAAATTTTTTATCTGATAGAAATTTCGATCTAGATTGTGATCTTCGTGCCATACGGAAAGATAGTAAAATTTGAACTTGCAAAAGTCCATTCCACTAATATCACACTGTCACATATCATATCTCACGCACACAACCGGTAAGCAAAGACACTGTTTCAACTGTTAAAAAGAATTCTAAACATTACGGAAAGAACGAGGCGCAAAGGGGAAAAAAAATACAAAAAGCCTACGGAGAGCACTGCGCCTTTAAACGATCAGCTGATTCCTCACTATTGTCACCCACCGTATAGCGAAGAGATCACAAAAGAGTACGACCTAACCACCGACCGGCGTCGGCGTCGGCGTCTCACGTGGGTTGCTTTCCCAAAAGTATTTCGGTGCGCACACGTGCGCGACACGTTTTTGGGACACCACACCAAAACAATTGGCAAATGCAAATTGCGAGCACTTTCGGCGAGCGCGAGAAATCCCCCTCCGCGTTAACTTCCGCAGCGTGTACCGCCGAGTAAATACGCGGGTAAACACTGGGCTTCCGAGTTTCACAAAGTCGCTGCGAGACACCACCGAGGGGGGGACGGAAAATTCACTTCGAGGCGCGCGGAGGGTACACCGGGGGGGGGGGGGAGAAGGATTGTGGATGCAGCGTGCGAGAGTTAACGCGTATCCTCGCGGCCGAGAGAGAGAGAGAGAGAGAGTCACGCAGAAGAACGGCAGGAGGAAGCGCGTGGGTGCGCGCCGCAGCGCGCGAGGGGGTGGTCGAGAGAGAACTGACCGTGTCGTGCGGGTTGCGTGTGCGACACACAGAGCGGCGTCGGCGACGGCCGGTGAGTGAATGCGCCGTGACGTTAGGCGCCCCTCCTAAGATTCCCGCCCCTCTCTTAAGCCTCCATACATATCACCCCCCATCCGTCTCCTCCTCGCTCGGCTTCTTCGTCCAAGTTAGCGCGCGCCTCTTTCTTCGCGGGGTTGCTCGCTCGCTCGCACACGCCGGTTAACCCGCCTTCCCTCTCGCTCTATTTCTCTCTCTTTCGCTCTCTCACTCATGTGCGAATCACTCTCCTTCCTTTCCCCACTCTTCCCGTCTCGGTTTCTCCACCGGAGTCATCCCCACCTCTATGTACTGTTCCATCCTCGCGAGTACAACTCCAACTTGTTTGCTCTCTCTCTCTCGCTCTCTCTCTCGCCCTCTTTATCTTCACCCCCCAACATTTGTCCCGCTCGCGAACCACGAACTACCCTTTCCTTGCTTTCGACTTTAGGAAAAACCGCGTCCAATGCAAAATATGTATTCTTCATGCTATAACCAGTCCTATTGGTTTTCCTTGCGGTACCTGATATCCATTGAGATCGTTACAATCTTGGTGAAAAGTTCATACTATACGAGTAATGTTATTTTTTTTTTCAAACGCGCTCTTCAACCGATATTCGTGAATTGATATGCGATGTGTAGAGGTTCTTTCAGTAGTATAATAAAAGTCTAATTTTTGCAAGACAGTTAGGTTTATTTAGAAGTTTGAAGATATCGCTCATTTATTGCAACAATGACATAACTCAAAGGAAAAAGTTTTCCAGAAGAAAAGCTTGAATTTTTTGAGTCATTGAAATTCTGTGATATTATTTGTAAATATGGTAAAGAAATAAAAGTATCTAGCAATATATTCTTCATTCACTGTATTGAACTCTTACTATTTTTTGCAAACAACTAAAAAATGACAATTTTTGAGTTATATCGTTGTTGTAGCGAATGAGCGATATATGCGTTAAATAATCAATATAAATCCATACAAATGAAATATAAAAAAAACCTTTGGTAATTGTGATAACTTTTCAATATTTTTGATACTTTTGCATTCATCTCTGATATACATACAAGTAAACATTTATAATTAAATGGATTCATTCGCAAAAAAAGCTCTATAATTAAACATATATATTTATAAATAGCTTAATAAATAGATTCATTTATAATTTTAATTTTATGATTTCCAAAATCATCAAAGGCATCGGTCCTTGCTCATTAAAAATAATTGTTTAAAATTTCTCGTTCTTCGAAAAATTAACTCTTTCCGCGGCTTATAGCTATTGAAAATGATCAATTCAAATGCGGTAGTTGATATCCATACACAATTCGGTTTTAACCGACTTTTACCTAACAGTATATTCTGATAGATCATGGCATACTTTCTTTGTAAACTTTTTGAATTTTTACAATATCTTCAAAATTGAAGAAAATATAGTACACGAAAATGTGCTGTGACATCATAGTGTCGCTGTAAAATCTTTTGAAGTTGCCGTCATCAAAGAAACTTTAGCAAGCTATAACTATAACTTTCTCAAATTTAGGTTCTTTTTTTTTAATTCAAAAAGTACTAAAAATCGGCTTAGATTCTCTCCATTAATTATTATGGATACCGCTTAATAAACAAAATTTACGTTAGAACCGAATTAATGATATAAATAATTTGTAAACATATTTTATTATGACGATATACTTTTTTTTACTTCAAATAATTAAATATAATTCTGAATCTTTCTTATATGTCAAGACATTAAACATATGGAGGGTAAAAGCCATAGTGGTGTAAGATGACTTACTACACTATGGCTTTTACTTCTCCATATGAAAGTTAAGCTTAAGTACTCGATACGGTTTTATCATTGAAGCTCAAATTGTTAGTTAATTCAAATTAATTCACATAAGAATAGCATCAGTATGTTACCGCGCGTATGGTTCTCAGATATTTATAGAAAATAAATTTTTTTGCGTACAGTGTATTATTAAATATAAATGGTACATAAATTACACCTCATTTACGTCATAAAAAATTGGAAGGGTAAAAACCACAGTGATGTAAGTCAAATTTTTAAAAATATTTTCTCGTGTGCATAGATGCAATTTATATATTGTATTTATATATTGCATAGATGCAATTTATATATTATATTTATATATTGTACAGATTGCAAAATATTTTTAAAAATTTGCCTTACACCACTGTGGTTTTTTCCCCTCCAATTGTATGTATACTTATTTTCTCGATTTAACTCTTTGAAATTCCATCGGGATACGTTCTATCCCCTGATATGTTAAACGATGATTGATTTATTTATGTTCTATTAATGCATTCCAAGAATCTAATCTGCTGTTAATTGAATTACTATTTTCGTGATTATGCTGTAGTCCATTTAGTGTTATAACTTATAAATACTTCGAAGTGTAGATTTCTTCGTCTTAATTCAATCGAACGCTACGAAGCATTCATAGCGTTAATCACCGGGGGCACAGTCACATAATTTTACGAATTAGGCTTATTCGAAATGTAGAAAAATTTACTACACTTCGAAGCATTTGTAACACCAAATGGACCGCAGCATAGTCACGAAAATATCAATTTAATTAATAGCAGATTCTTCGGACTGCGTTGTAATAGAACAGAAATAAATCAGTTATCGTTTAACATTCAAGAAATAATTATCCCAGATATATTTTTAAGATTTAACGTGGGATTTTATCAAACATCCCCTATTATAACAGTAAAAATTTACCTATTAAATATGTCGATACTTTTACAGGGTGTCTGGTAATTACTGTGCCACATCTTCTGGCAGGTAAAGCGAGTTAAACTGAAAAAGATCTTAAAAAGTTTTTTACCGAGGTTCTTTACCAGCGTCACAGTGACGATTGTGATTGGTACACGGCGAGAAACATCTTTATTAATTAATTTGTTTATTAATTATTGAGAAATTTGCAAAATGACAAAGGACTTTTTTTATTCAGTTTAACCTGTTCTACCTGTCCACGAGAAATGACATAGTAATTATCAGATACCCTGTAAAAAACGCTAAATAATAATCAGGCAAATACAGAAAACTACCTCGTTTTGTCACTCATTGATTTTGCCGATATTAAATAATTTCATAGCTACTCAAAATATCTTTAAACAATTTGCAAAATATGCATATGCGAAAAGATCCCGAGTTATAATAATCAGAATAACAAATTGAAAATCATCATGCAAAAAGATACCTGAGAGAGAGTTCTAAAAATCCCACTTCTGGACCGGTCGTGTTGCTAACAGTGCCGTCAATCTTTTTCTTTCACCGACTCTCTTCAGTGTAGGTTATAAGAGTTTATACAGTTTTCGTGTTTAATGAACACTTGGCATCGCCGAACTGATTGAAGATGAGTCGATGGCAAGGCTGCTAAAACGCCAAGAAACAATGGAAAGTATGACGAGGAGATCGACAACAAGGTCGAGCCATTCAGTGCTGTTGGTGAACCAGGTTCGTATTGATATCAGTTTCGGAATAAATTCCGCAAAATATTTATATGTGTCGACAGTAGCGTAACTATTTTTATAAATTTATAAAATTTTTATTCGATTTTTATAAATTTTAAACAAAACAGTCTCTCCTATTCCATTTCATTTGTAAAATTAATAGAAAGATTGAGATAAACATTTTTTACAGTTTATTTTGATGACTATTAAAATAATGACTATAAAAATTGTTTTTATTATATATTCGATTTTACATTTTTAAAGTTTTTTCTATTGATTTTATATTTTATTTGTTAGAAACGTTTTATCTTTTTTTTTTTTTTAATATTGCGGTCCTTCCATTGCTCACCCACAGTTAAAATTATAACTGCAGTCTTTCGTAGTTTTTCATAATTTTATGACGAAGAACCGATTCAAAGGAGTAATTTCGAAGACTGGCGATAAGAATCACTAATATATAGATAATGCTGAGGTGAGTTTTCAAAATGGAGGTTGACTCTTTCGGCGAATGCGTGTATACTGGCCCGCTCTGACAAAGCCGTTTCTATGAAATTGTTACTTTGTTCCAGATATTTTCGCAGAGTTTTTGGTGGCAGAGTTACAATCGGAATAAATCATCAGAAGCAAACACACACGCGCACGTGACACAATTACCACGAAGAAACACACATATACGCGCTCACGCGCCTTAATTATTGCCAGCCGATATCTCGGTTGATGTTTCGTCTACGGGACAGTCGCGCGAAGATGCGTCTCTATCAACGTCATCGTCGTCCACGTATGGCCTTTCCTCTATAATGGTCGCGCACCCCCTCGCACGTGTGCCAACAATTCACTTACAGAAGCGTATCCTGTCACAGCTCGCGATATGGAGAACGCGTGCACTCCGAATTCTGCGCGCGTTATTCCGCAGGTGGCAGCCGTGACGCGTGTGTGTATGTGTGTGCGAGCGGTCGTGTGCGCATACGTTGGATACACGCGGCGGGAAAGTGTGCGAACAGTGACCGGACAGACCGACTCTCAAAGCGGCCGAGTTGTGACTGCTCCACTGAAAGAGGAGAACGAGACGAAGAGTCCCACCTCCTTGTGCCACCTCCAGTCGGATGGGTACCAGCCCATCGGACCCTCCTTCGCTCGCTGGATCTCTCTCCCTCCTCTCTCTCTCTCTTTATCTCTCCGGTTTGTCCAATGTACCTGCTACTATGCGTTTTTCCAGCGCGGGAACAACCGGTTGAGTGCAGTGTGCGAAAATATGCGTGTGTTTCTCCGTCTTCCTTTCTCTTTACCGTTTTCCTCTCTCTGTTATGTCTTCCTCTTCCTTTATTTTTCCTTTATCTTCTTTCATCACCTCTCCACCCCCCTCTTTCTCTCTCTTTCCTCTTTCGTTCAATCCCTTCAGTCCTACTTTCTTCCTTTGTTGTAAGAAAATAGTTTTCCTCCCGCTTTTACGGTCGCACATAACAATTAGC